AGATTTTTCCCCAAATCGTTCAGCCCTATTTTCCATGCTTTTCCAAGATTTTGCTTCTCAAATCCTCAGACAACTGTTTTCTCTTCTTTCTTTTGTCCAGGTTCAGTATGGCACACACAGACACACAACACTAAAGGTTGAGTCAAACTTTCTCCATTTTACCTGGTTGTAAGTGTGATTTGAAACACAATTATAAGGCCTACCTTGAAAAGGTGCCAATAATTTTGTCTAGTCCATTTTCTAGAGTTCTGTGTGGATTGTCTCAGATTTGGCTTTTTTTCCAATGCAAACAAAAGAAATAAACATGACAATACCAAAGCATTTGTTATCGCAACCATTTTCTGGGAGAAGCAGTGCATTATGTGGCAGACATAAAGGGGTGGCCATGACTCTCCATCTGTCTTTCTCTCCCTGTACGTCTCTGCTCTGTTGACTTACTTCATCAGCATTTCCATATTTTATGACTTATCTACAATGTTGGATGTTCATGTTAAATATGGCCAAAGCTTCAAATAATGAGGTAAATGTATTTAAAAGAAATCCGTGTGAGCCAAAATCTCAGATTTCCTCCTGTTCTGAATGCTCTGTTTTGAACTGCTTTTTCTACCAACGGCTCCGTTCTACGACACATGGAGCTAGATGGCGCCGGTGTTCCATATATGGTCATTTGCTCAGCACAGGAACACTCAGTCTGTCGGTATCACTCAGCAACAACAACAGCCTAGCAACATGCTTCAAGTCTTGGCCAATCAGAAGACACTTTGAGAGGGGTGGGCTTAAAGAGACAGGAGCATCTACAGCTTGTTTCAGAAAGAGGCTGAAATGGAGAGCCAGTATAAAACAGAAAATTATGTTTTTGAACTTTGAATCATGCAAAGCTGCCATACAGGAGTCACAGAACTACAATACAGGACTGGAAAAGCAGTATAATAGATCTCCTTTAATAAAATTGGCCAAAAACCACAATTCCGTGCTTGTAAAATATCAACCATGTCTGAGTCTTCTAACATAATACCAAATATTGTCTCTCTCTGTTTCTCTGAAAAGTGGGTCACCAAATATACTTTGGAGCAGTTAATAAACCTGGGCGGCCTGCCCAAATACAGTCTGTGTGGGTAAACACAGCTTATTTTGGCCTTACAGGTATTACATATCGGTAGCTTTGAGTCTTCTTCACTCACTGTGAAGAACTTGCACACTGACATGGTTTAGGGTGTCTGTATGGCTGTGATAATAGCCGGTTGCGGTCTGTGAAGCTGTGGCATGGAAGAACCAACGTGCGGCAAAGCATTCGGTTAAATATGACCAGCACAAGATGGAATATGCGAGTCTGTCACAGTGCCAGTCACAGGTCGCGGCTGATCAAGCTGAAAACCGGCTGATCAATCGGTGCATCTTTAAGGTGAATAGCTTCCTTGGCCTGGAAGTATGAACCCATGCCTCTACATGTGTTCTTTTTTTCACTTCAGTCTGTTTTGGATGTTGTTGCTGGATTTGTTTGCGTTTCTTTCCAGTATTCCTTATATTTCTGCCGGTATTGTTGATATCTTATGTAAATGTCTTGTCTGATAAATCTCACTTTTTGACAGAAAAGATTTTTTATTTGTTTTTTATAATAACTTCACAAGAACAAATCACAGGCATGATGGATGATCTTGTTGATACCTCGTTCCCTACAAATTAAGTTGTTCCAAATTTACGCCTCTCCCACTAGACGCCTCTCCTGTTCCCGCCGTGTCTTTGATGGCCCTGCTGTAAATCACTTAAGTGCTGTATTCCCTGTCATCAAACTGGCCTCCGTTGGTCTCAGAGGCCTCATTGGCAGGCTGCTGAGCATGGGCAGTGTCAGAACAATGCAATGTTTACTTTACAGTGACATGAAGCAGAGAAAAGAAGCAAATCCAAAAATTTGAGAAGCCGCAGCCAACATACTTTACACAGAGAATTTGTTTTTATTGGAGGAGCACTGTCTCCAGTATGTCAGCACACACACTGTTTTGTTACTGTCTACACAAGCATTTTTCTGTCATTCTAGGATGTATGCTCTAAAAGGTATACAATAAAATTAATTTCTGATAAAACACGGCCTTATCAACAATTGTGCTCACGGGAGGAAAGGACATACTTTCAGTGCCAGGTCAAACTAGCCTGCCTCAGCATAACAGTTCTTTATAATCAAATAGCGAGATCCCAAGGTAGCAAGATTCCAGCTCAGCTCTCCACCAAATAAATGCATGGAAAGGCCTGAACTCATTAAAACTAGCAACACCATAGATCACACTGCTGTACTTAAAAATGACTGGATTAGAATACACAGTTCAGGAACTGGAAGGAATACAGCTCCTCATTCAGTATGCTTACACACTTTATGAATCTGGCAAAAAATATGCATAAGAGGAAATAAATTCTTTAGTAGTAGGTTAAAATAATATGTAAACATTACGGACATGGGTTTTAAAACAAGTTACTTTATTCAGTCAGTAATATTCTTTCCATAGTGTCTTTTAAGGTGAGATGTCAAAGTTAACTGCTCAGTCACAGCTGTGTGCCCATAAAATTTAGACTGCTGATGGTGGACCTAGTCTGATTCGGCATGACTTTTGTTTAGGTGGTGTAAGAGCATGAAACAGAGCGTAAAAGAGGGGGACTAATGCCAAAGGTGTGAGAGGCTGCAACCCTGCATGTGATGGAGAAGACGAACCTCGGCTCCACTCAGCTCTGACGGGGTCCAGCCCAATTTATCCCCGGATGATAAGAAATCATCCTGATGGCGATTAACTGGATCTATTCCTACATGCTGACATGAGTGGTGGCATTTCAATTAATTTGCATGACTATTGAAAATGGAATACATTATTTTTTAAATCTAACCATTTACCGTCAGACAACTATGGAATGTGAACAGAAATCCAGGTAGATGAAGTGCTGTGCTGTACATCTCAAGGATCCGATCATATATCATGACAAAAAAATAGCTGACCTATTGAATAAAACCTCCAATAGCACAATAGATCTATCCATTTTGACCACAAATACATAGGAACTCAAAACTTACTGCTAGAATTAAGTCGCATATTTTACAGCCCCAGAAAAAAGGAACACCATTCATGTCCTTGGAGACGAAGATAGGAACTGGCCGCAAGTGCTGCCACGGCCTCCTCTCTCTAAAACCTCCACTGCAAACCACTTAGTCTTCCTTCTGTGTCTTTTCGGGGAGATTAAACATGTCTCAGAGGAAGAAAATATCAACCAACCAAATGAACAAGATAAATGTAAGACCTGCTCCTAATATCTCATGTCTGCCTATGGAGAATTGGTGATTAGGAAGGTTTCCACTGTTCAGTACGTGTGTGTGTGTGTGTGTGTGTGTGTCATAAGAGACTTTGTGAGCAAGACTGAGATAATCTAACAAGTCCTGCTTGCACCTCAAAGGTGTTTGCTGCTTCAAGGCTAAACCCTTATACACTTCAGCCAATCACAGTGGACGATGCTATGCGTGTTATCTCTGATCACATGTATGTGAACATGGTAGCTGTAGATTATGTAACTCAATGAATGCCTGTTAACTGTCAATATTTTTTCAGTACGAAACAACATAGCGGCACTTACATTTTTATTCGGATCACCTCTCAACTTAAGAAAAAGAAAGATATGAACACAAACTGCAAGTGGTGGGCACTTACGATCCATATAACATTACAGCATCCGCTGCCACATTTCTACTGTTAAAAACCACCAGGTCCCTGCCGCCGCTCCACTGTGGTAATGATTGCATTTACCTTGTGGGGAATCCCTCACCTAACACAGCCCAGGCCATCTGAAAGCACAACAACCATCCAGCATTTTGGCAACGCAAAAGCAACCAACTCAAAGTAACAGTGTGTCACTTGCTTCCTGGTTGGCGGGCAGTGGAAAATAACGTCTTTTTTTGCCTCCAAGGGAGGTCACGTGAAAACTCTGAATTACCCTGGTTCCACAAATGTTCCAAAGCAGCAGTTTTACCTCTCCCCACGACTCGTTTTGTATAACAGTGTGTGTTGCACGCTTCAAATGATGTAAAGCGAATGGTGTTCGTTGTTTGATTTTGTTTTTTCAATAATGAATAATGATGGTTGCAGGCATCTCTTTTCAGTCTGTCTTGCTTTGTCTGGTGTTTTTAAATCAGTACAACAAGGGGAAATACATTAATAAATGAAGTGATTGAAAACTGATTGACCCTCCTCGCATGGTCAACCTACTATGGATGTCTGTGAGAGCTCACAAAGTCATTGATCCTGTTTCCAAGCAGCCAGACTCACTCAGCTGATAAAGCTGAAATAGGAAATATGTTAACCACAGTTATCCACAGGATAGGCCTGAGAAGGGAATTCATTTGTCTTTACATGTTGCCAGACATGTTTACATTTCCAAATTGCCTCCCTGCTGTAATTCATATAACACTGTATTGCCGTTTGCATTGCATTTATGTTTTTCATCTGATTTTTCAGGTGTTACCTCTGCTGTGATCGCTCAGAGAGGACAGAGAGCTGGGATCCTAGCTATACAGGCCCAGCTCGGACATTAGTCTGCTTCTAAAGGTCTAGTCTGGACAAAACGGACCTCAGGCTGCCAAGCAATAAAGGTCCACATCTTCATTCTGGATGGAGCACTCAGCATCCAGAATGCAGCAGCAGACGTTCTCCCACCCTGCACAGCACCCTGCGCTGGCTACCAGTGGCTGCTTGCTCAGCAAAACCACCACTGTTTGCTGTCTTGGCTCCACAATGGTAGTGATACACAGCCTGGGAGTATACCGCCAACTTCACGGGAAAGTAAGTCCCTAAAGCATGTAGTCGAGGAGAAGTCTGTTGGTTGAGGTCACAGTTCACTTTTTAGGCTCGTTTAGAACAGTTGTTCTGAGGAGTGTACTTTTACGAAGTAGACATGACAAATACCTGAACGGCTCCCTGATTTAGACATCAATCTTTTACACACTATACTGGACTAACTCTGCAGCTTACCTTCGTGCACGGTCACCCCACAGTTGTCACATTGGATGATCTCATCTGCATCCTCGCTGTTGTCTCCCAAACAGACACAGCAGATGAGGATGTGCTGAGTGCTCCAGGTCTGGGAACGGTCCAGCAAGGCATCCTGGGGAATCAGGAAACAGAGCCACAGTAAAGCCACTTATCCAATGCCCCCACACCCCAACCCCCTGATCTGACCACAGATCCAGTAACTGGCAGTTAGTAAATCCTCTACACAATGCTCGTGGACATTGTGCTAAGTCGATTATAACAAAGGCAGAAATTCTCCTGGAATCACTCTGATACCATCTAAACCTCTCATTGGATTATATGGTGACTTTGTGACTCATATTGTTGTTTGGTATTATGGAGTGCTACAAAAAGTAGCCAATGTGCAGGCCAAATACCTAATTCAGCTGCAGTGGTTTACATAACTTGTACAAGGCCAGAAACTGCATTTGCTTCTATGATCAGTAGATCAATAACAGTGTCCGAAATTAACTTTTTGACTCACCAGCCAAGCATATTCATAACAATGTATATGGGTCACATATACATTTGTTTTAGTAGGTTTGATTGAGATAATAAGGTGTTGTGTTGAAGAGAAACAAGCAGAGGCCAGAATAAAATGTGAAGCCAAGTTAATCAACGGTTCATCAATTCAAGCCTGTAACAACTACTGAAAAGTACATCTCAAAATTCTACTCTTTTTGACATTAAATGTACTTAAGGATAAAAACTAAAAGGAATGGGTCAAACCCATGGACTTTCACACAGAAGACAGGGGTTCATTTCCCATGTGAATTCAAAAGTCAGCATTGATTTTTTTAAGTGCTTGTCTTATTTTAGCCCTGATCTTCTCCTAAAACAACCAAGTTGTGAGCATCACCTGAAATGTTTCTAAGTTTTATTCTTAAAGTCCAACTGGACGTTGCATATTTACCGTTGCTGACCACTGACACTGACCAAGGAATGAGAACGTGCCACATGCGTGACACTGTGTGTAATATACGCTTTGGCATGATACCAGGTTGCAGTAGCAGACCAGCGGCGAGTGGTAGTTTAGCGGAGTATCTGATGTCCCATGAGGTAGAGGCTCTCAGTGTAGTTTTTTATTACAAGACTAAATATGTTAATGTTTTTATTATTGAACGGAAGAAAACAATTGTTCTTCCTTTGGAGCTACATCTGAAATTCTCATTTAGCCTTCAAACCTCTAAGCGGGCTTGCCTGTGTCCACGTTTGACTGACAGCTGAGCCAGCAGGCTGGTAACTGAAGCTTACAAACAAGGACAGACGATGTTGTTTGGTGCATGTATGGTGTAGCCCTTATGTTTAGCATACGGGCTACACCATTCAGCACATGTGAAATATCTGAAAATTTCTTCTACTGAATTTGAACGCAGTCCACACAGTCTGATCCTACACTGGGGTATAAAAGTTCAATTCATCCGCAGTGCCTCACAAGCAAACATTACTGTGAGGCAGCTGCATTTTACAATGTCAGCGAATAAATCTTTGGTGTTGAATGATATTTTTTATTGCCATTGTATTTTTTTGTTTCTTTTGGGAGGCCTGCTGTGTTCTATGCTTGACAAGGGTTTTTTTTCTTATAAATTGCCACCACCACTACTAACAAATGTCAGCATTCTGTTGAACCTTAGCTTTGTAGGTCCATCGGACCACAGTCACAACGCCATTCTAAGTGTAATACTTTCAAAAAAGTGGGACTACTTCGTAGATGTGCACATATCAAAAGTTAATTGATGTTCTGAAGAATGTGTCACAAGAGGAAAAGAGACCAAGCGGTGGTACAATCAGTTATCACACCATATATTAGCACTTTTACTAACAAAGGTAATCACAACCCACGTGTTACACTGCATTTAATCGTAACGTAGCATTGCGTATTTAGCACGTGTTTGCTGCACATACAGCTTGGGGCTCCCATTCATCGTTTCACACCGGCTTCCTCTTCATTCTTATCCAACTTTCTTAACGATGCCAAACACACCTGAAACCCTTGCTCCGAGCCAGAGAAAAACACAACCAGGCAAATCAAGCTAGCAAGCATGTCAAGCTCAGCATCGCAACCAAACATATTAACCAATTTAACATTATTCAACCATTTAAAACAAGTTGAGAAGAGAACATTATAAACCTAAAACAAACTGACACAGTTATAAGCGAGCAGTGACTAATATTTACCTTTGGAGGATGATGCAACTGATAATATTCCGACTTTCGGTCACTTGAATTAATGGTATCCAACCTGTGCTGTGTGTGACGTGACTCCGGGGTGTGTTCACAGCACTGCCACAACAGCATATTAAAATAATTTTTCAGGACAACACAAGTTTTTCCAAGAAATGTAACTTTTTTTCTCTCATGTTCCAGGTGTTATCCATGACTGGAAAATTGTTCAACCGTTTCCCAGGTTTTCCAGGACACGTGGGAACCCTTTTTTCTGTGCTTTTGGACAAAGTTCAAACTTCTCAATTTCAACATTGTTTTATATTTAGAACATTTTAAATTGAATCCACCTCTGAGACGGGAACGTTGGAAGTAAAGCCACAGTCCGCATGCCGGTGTTACACGTAATGGTCTTTGTCTACACCGATGGTTCCAGAAAGCTGGATTGGTACGTGAAAACATGCATAGTCGCTGGATTATGCCAGATACGTTTGTTGAGTATGAATGAGCGAATGTGGCATATTGGTGGATATTCTTTAGGCGTTGATGGAGTGATCTCTGTATGAAAGTAGCTATAGTCTCTCTCTCTTTCTACTTTCTCATCCTGATGCACTCTCGGGTAGGGTTGGGCCGACAGACGATGGCATCGTCTATTGGCGATGGCTGACAGACATCACGACATTGAGCCGGCATCGTGATTGTAAAACCTCAAATTTTCACATTATACCACCCTGTGAAAGCAGGTTTTAATGACCACGAACATTCTTATTATTGTTTTTAAGTATGCGTTGCACCTGCCTCTCTCTCCCCGCCGTCTGCTCCATTTTCTCCATCAGCAGTATCTTTTATAAAGTCGCCTAAAAGACTGAGAACTTACACATATATTAAACATATATTTCCACCCGCGATCAGTTATCACGGCAGCAGGTGAGCCGCAGGTCGGCTTGTTAATGACGTAGCCTATCAAACAACTGAAATCAACATCGGCACCTGGTGTGTTCCCTGACGCTTTACCTGGTCCGTGCGTAAAATATCCACCGCCAAGTTAATAGTCAATTTTTTTACCGAGTGAAGTCTGCGCGAGAACACATGCACATAAGACCCCCGCGCACCTGATGACATTGTCCTTCCCGATCTTTCATGGTAGACATCATCCGATGGAAATTTTGGAGACATTGTCCAACCCTAATCTCAGGTACCAAAATATGGCACAGATTGATTTTATGTGAATCGGTACTTGGTAGTACAGACGTAATTCGGTTGATACCCTTAAAAGTACTGAGTTTGGTACCCAAACATGCTACTTCATTTCAGTTGCACCTGAAGTCTGAGACTTGAAGTCAGGCCCTGTGAGACTGTAGCTGCACTCACCTCATTGCCCTTTCCCTGGGACATGCTGTCGTTAGTCAGCTCTTCATCAAAAGTACTTGTGCTCTTAGCCTTCTTCTTGGGCTTCTTCATCTCTTTGTCACTATCACTGCTACTGTTGTTGTTGTTGTTGATGTTGTCATCACCATCTTCCTTATCATCATCCTCGTCGTCGTCCTCGTCGTCGTCCTCATCATCATCATCGTCGTTATCGTCGTCATCGTCGCTAGCACTGCCACCCTCCTCTTCCTCAGTCCCTCCTTTTTGAGCAGCTGCTTTGCCTTTCTTCTTCCCTGCTGTGGGTCTCCAGTCATTATCATCCTCGCTGTCATAGTCGTCCATCTCATTCAGTTCCTCCATAGTGGTGAAGTCCAGCAGGGGGCGGTTCCTGCGGAAATTCCATTTCTTGGGCTCGGCCTGAGACTCTTCTGCGTTCACGCTGCCAGACCCTGACGTTGAGGTAGATTCAGTGCCAGCAGCTACAGCAGGCTCAGGCTCTGAAGTCTTCTTGCTCCTGCGGCGGCTTTTGGGTAGGGTGACAGCGGACGTGTCTTTGGTGGAGCCGTCTGAGGAGGGCTGCTGTTTGGCCTTCTCTTCATCTTCCGTTAAGTTGTCCTCAGCGGCCAGGTCTTTCGCCTCTTCTTCATCTATACCATCGTCTGCAGACCCAGCGTTGTTCGAGTCACTTTCAGAGCCTGCAGCGCTGCCTTTAGACCCTTCCTCATCACTGCCGTTGCCTGTGCCGTCTGATCCTATCAGAACACAGAACAATGACAGGGGAATCAGAAGAGTGCACACTGAGGTCACTCTGAAAGGCCTAGCTGCTGCTCCAGCATCTGTAGGGACTTTGTGTAGGCAGGTGTGATTAAAGTCAAACGGAAATTAAAATTACTTTTACAAAGAAATGATGACTGTTTTGTGTACTTCTTTGCTTATTTGTGTCTCCCCAATGGCTGTGAATGTTTTGAAAAAACTGATGTGAGGACTGTAATTTGCTTGGTGCAATATCTGTATGGACTAAAAATATTGCAAGTTTAGCTCAAATTGTTTGTTCTTCATTTAATTTCCAACAAACTCCCCTGGCTGCCAATAGAGGGTCTGATTCTTGATATAAATATATAAATCATATGTTCAATAAATATGCATCTCACAGGTGTAGCCTACTTAATTTGACACACCTCATTTTTCACAAGCTACTTAATCCAAATACTAGAGGTCCTGGTTAAAAAATATTATGTTTATAAACTTAACTGAGCCTATTAGTATGATATTAAGGAAAATTGAAATTGGAGAATGTGACTTCTGAAACTCGTGCAATGCAACCAGCTAGAGATTAAACATATCACTGTTAAGATTAAAAGTATTAAACAAAACATACACAAAATGTTACTCAAAATGGGGGGTTGTACACATTACCAGGAGCTTCAGTAGGCCTGCAGCATATTCTGCTATTGTATATGTTTTCTTTTATCGTTTAATTAGGATGGAAAATGATATAGGTTGAAGGCTGCTAGATTTACAAAGACGGTGCTTACCTGAGGCATCTCCCACTTCAAAGTCACTGTCATCTGAGCTGTCATAATCCAAGGCATCTAAGAGAGAGGCAGCAAGTGGCTTCACCTGCCGGCGCTTCAAATTGCGGTCCACTAAAAATGTGTTGCCGAGAATAAAATAAAGTTTGAGTAAGGTGTGATGTCCATGCAGCAGAATAACACATTTGGATTTAGAGTGCAGTGACAAGCAGCATACAACTATAAATAACTACCTGTACAAAGGCAGTAATTAGACAATTCTTCTTACTCTGTACCATGGAAAACCTGTAATTGAAGTGTTGTCTAAAGATGATTACACCCACTCATTGACATTATAAGGAGGTCTGGCCTCAACACATCAGATTGATGATATTATAAAATACAGAACACATCCTCTAAGAATAAATGTACAAAGTTCCTAATCAAACACTAAGCTTATGTTTATACTATAACTAATATTTGGGCTTAGGGTGGCCATCCTGTTTAGTGATGGTTCCTTTAGATGAACAACATTTCAAAACTATGAGTCAACTTTTCAGGATTATGATCTGTGATGCCTTTGTGAGACAGGATATGGATTTAGCTGAACTGATTTTAACACTAGAAATGTCTGACAGGAATTGTTCTCTCTTAGATGACATGGTAGCTAGCTGAACTCAGTTTCCATGTTTTTGCAGCACTAGCAAGATTTACAATACGTGACCATGCTGCATCGTGCTTTAATTACATTCTCCACAGTCAGTGTTTTACTTTACTCCCACGCTGCCATTTAATGCCACTTTACTTTGTGAAACAGAGCGACTGTAGGGTGTGCATGAACTTGTAGTTCTTTAGTTTTGCCGTGCCTCAGGACTAAGTGGGGACTGTGTTTACATTTCTTCATTCACTATATGATGGAAAGCAGTGATCGTGGTGAACACGTGGTTTGCAGTATTTAGTCTTAGCTAGATCTGTGTTACTGAAAGCGAGAAGACATTTTTTCAGATTCTGAAACTGGGACAAATGAGAATCATGAACGCTCCTCGCGTGCACGGTGTGTTTGTAATAGCAAACTGTTAGCAAACAAAGAGCACCGCTGCGCCTCTGCAGCTAGCGTTAGCAAAAGGCTGCGCAATGCTGTAACTTAGAAATGTCTTGCTCTTTCAGCCAATAGTTAACCACCCAGACTCTCTTTAACCCAATAGTGTTTTTAGGTACACAATGATTTCGTCAAAACCACCTCACATTTACTGCAGTTGTGTCGCCACTTCACATCCTTGTCTGCAAGCAAGGTAGCTAATTGCTGCTAGCATTAACTAGCTGTAGTAATTTAACGTTACGTCCAAAGACCGTAAGTTAACTTGTGTTTTGCAGATCCTTAACCGCGCTTCACACAGACGTAAGACTAAGAATCTGGTTAGACCGACAATAGCAGACACAGGAAAGTGTCCAACTGCACTTAAAACAAATTAGCATTAGCATTATTAGCAACACCAGGTGCTAGTTAAATCGTAGCTGCGCTAGCTTAGCCGGCTAGCTGCTAATTGGCCGTTCGAGCCAGCAAACTATGCTGTTAAATCGGTGCAAATCCAATTTAACAAAATCTTGCTAAGTCTTACAGTAAAATCACAACGTGGAAAGCAGCACTCACTCTGTAGTTCGTGTTTACTACAAGAAACAAGGCAGGTGTCCCTGTAGCAGCATGTTCTGTGGACAATGAAACACAGCGGTGACGTGCAGACTGGAAGCTGTTGCCATGGGGACAGTTAGGCTTACAGACAGCAGATGGTTACATTTGAGAGAAATTAATACAACGACAGAGGGGTAAACAAATAAAAATGATTAATACATTGTGAAGGAAGTCTCCTAAGAGGTCGTAAGTCTGGTAGATGGTAGTAAGGGACAGGTCACTAGGAACAGAATACCCAGCTGTCATTATGACTGGAAGAAGCCTGAGCCCACACAGCCAAGGACCAGAGATGGGTGCTCAGCCTCAGGTGTGCCAGAGTGACACCACCTTAGAAAACATTACATGTGACCTGCTAATTACTACGTGGCGCACGCAAACCTATGTAGGCCTAACCATAGCGTCTTCTTTGGAACCAATATCCAATTGAGTCTGTACACATGTATAGGTGGGTGAAGAATAACATTATTTGGACAAATAGTGAATCTCAGTAGGTCTAGGAAGGGAAAACATCCCCCGCCAGGAAGTATCCTTCAGATTCAAACACTGCACTTTGATTTTCACTCTGTAGCCTATTGTTTTTACCATTTACTTTATTTAATCTTCATTAAATAAGAGATGACCAGCTGAGCTCACAATTATTTCCTTCACAAAATTGTATGTATTATTAAAAAACTGAATTTACGTACTAATAAATGAAACACTGTACACTGTACAACACTTGTATGGTATATATTTATATTGCTTTCTATTTTTGGAAGCACATAGACCTATGTACAGCATATAGAAAGACAGCCCTCTCTGGGCCACTGTATAAGACTGAAAGCCAAACCCAGAACAGTGTCGCCAGCTGCTGCTGAGACCCATTATAACATATAATTGCTGCTTTCTAAGCAGATTGTTAATCATTGCAAAGAGACCTATTACAAACAATGAAAAAGAAAAACAATATTTTTGGCTCTCTAAAGAGCTTATAAATGAATAAGAACTTGTTGTACTGCACTTTGTTATCAGTAGGGCATTCTGGGTAGGAAAATGCCATCGTTGACAAATTAAAGGAATGTTAGGTGTCTCGAGGTGTTGCTCCACCTTGAGCTTCGAGAAAAGCTTAATAGTCCTTGTCATAGATCCCCCAAGTGTGTGAAACTACTGGAGGGATGAACAGCATTCGCACAAAAGATATTCCATCATAACATGTTGCTTCAAAAATCTCCCAAAATTGCTGAGGATATGATAACTAGTGTACTCAAACATAGCCAGCATACTAGTGCACACGTGACCATACTCAGTGATCTTGTAAGTAGACGGGCATAATATTTTTACAACTACAGACATGACATTTTAGCACTAAATATTTGCTGTCAGTACATCAAAATATCCTACCCTGATATCTAATACAGGACATTTACAGCCCTTTGGGACACTCCTTGTTCAGACAGAGCCAGGCTAGTTGTTTCATGAACTATTCCTTTAACAAAAAATTGCACAATACAACAACAGGAATGGAGGAAAACAGTAAAGACCAAAAACACTACAAACCTCAGAGTGTTTGGAACAACTTGTTACCAAAATTGGTTCGGACTGGAAAAGACCTTAATTATTTCCCCCTTTGAATTGTTTTGTTTTTATTTCTCTAAAAACCTCTCTCTTGAGAACTCATGCAATTACTGTATTCAGACTTTCTTTTAGATTTATGAAGAAACGGGAAAGTTCTTTTAAAAGGGTGCAGCTGCATGAAAACGCACTTTGGCTGATTTTCAAAATGAGCTTTGTTTCTATTGTCCTCCTTTGACTTTGCCAGTTTAGCAAATAAGAGACGATTAAAATAAATGAGCCTAGATTGATGGTGATACATGGTAAGGGGAAGACTGATGGGGCAGGCATGCGAAAGGGATGATTACAACTGTCCTTGCATGATGACAAATTGCCCTGTATTGTGCTGGAAAGAGGTAGTTTTTTTATCAGCTTGTATCAGAACACTTTGGGGATATCACAGCAGCCATCATTGTCATCATCACTATCAGCATTTTCATCGTTTTCTCTCCTGCCCTCCTTTGATCAACATAGAGCCTGTGATGCTGCCAGATAGTGTGTGAGGGAATATGACAAGTAGTGGGTCTGAAATCACACTGGTCAATGTGATAATATTAGTGAGGCCAAGTGTAGATTTAACAGAATTGCACTTATTTCGAAGCAGATCCCAGTTTATACACCTCCTGAGCAGTACAAATGGACACAGAGCAGTAAAGTAAAGGCTACACTCAGGTGAGATGAGACATTTAATTGCACACAACGTGACCTCCACTGGGCCTTCTGAGGAACCAGTTTGTGAACAAGCTTCATGCTGAGCTGAGTTTTTCTTCTTTTCTTTTTTTTTTAATCCAAGCATTTTATTAGGCCCAGTGTCACAGAATAACAGCTCAAACAAAGAAAAGAAAAGGGCCCTTTTTTCATTTTTCCCTCCCAATGAAATGAATGAGGCTCAACAAAAGAATGAGGCAGGCTCAGTTTTGGTCTGTTCTTCTTTTGTATCCTTTTGGTACAAAACATCAGTGGAAGTACAGGTGGACAATACTGTTCTTTTACATTACATTTACACATTTGGCTTTTATCAGAAGCGACATGTATGAGGAACAACATACAAGCATTAATAAAGTAAGAGATCAAGTGACAATAGATACTAGGAAGTCCAGCAATAAGTATGAGTTACAAGGTTGTTTATTTGTCATTATTCAGCACAAAGCTGCACAACAAAACAAAATTTGTAGTTCCTTTATGCTACACACACAACATATGTAGTGTAGACCTATATTAAAATATGGTAACATATAAAATAATATACTCCGGACATTCCGCAGTGCATTTTTTGAATTTGGGGTAAATGTAAACAGCAGCAACCAGATGATAATATGAAAGTTGTGCTTGCGCGTGCTTGACCCGGGATGTTGATGGGGCAGGTCTCTGTAATGATGTGGGCAAAACAGTCAGTTGTTTGGACTGGCTGGATTGTGGTCTGCTGCTCTTTAATCCAAAAAGCAATGTACTTTCTTGTACAAACACCAGTAAAAGCTATTAGCGTGTCTGCATCAATGGGAATATGGTGAAAAAGTTAGTTTTTTTCCCCCATATTTTAATTTCATATATTCTAGATTCATTACACATAAAGTGAATTATTTCTTTCTTTTTTTGTTTTATTCTTGATGATTACAGCTTACAGCTCATGGAAATCAAAAATCCACATCTTAAGTCATTTTATATGTAATGAGCTAAAATATATATGAAACATGTCGGGTGGTAATGGAGTAATGGGTAAGGCCCATACCTTTGGTGTGAGAGACCTGGGTTCGAATCCACTGTGAGACACCAGTGTGTCCCTGAGCAAGACACTTAACACACTTAACGCCTACTTGCTCCAGAGGCGTGCAGCCTCTGATGTATATAATTGTAAGTCGCTTTGGATAAAAGCGTCAGCTAAATGAATAAATTAGACTTTTGGGGAAGCAGTAAGAGTTAACGAAATAATGCAATGCAATCAGTGCAATATAATTGGAGGAGATAGAAAAAGAGAGCACAGGAAGTACATATTAGAGGTTAGGGGTGTTATAAGAGGAAGTGTTCTAGGAAGAGATGAGTTTTCAAGAGAGGGACGCCCCTGCTCTGATGGCGTGTGGTAGCTTGTTCCACCATCGTGGTGGTGACTGAGATTGCTTTGTGTGTAGGGATGGCAGGCTTTATGCACATGCTGTGGGTGATGCAGAGACGAATAATGCAGATAGTGGAAATAAAAAAAATCTTTTTTTTAAACCAAGGCTTCATAAAGATGTATGACACCAAAAACTGACAGTAGCACTCTCAATACTGCGCCTGAATGCATCTGTGTAGACACTGACAGAGGGCTGAAGCTCCTGCTGCCCTGTCACTGTTATATGATGCAACTACAACAACATAAGCTCACATCATGATTTTGATAACTGGACAAATTGGATTACAGTGCATCACAATATGGGAAACATACATCTTTTCCTGACTTTAGCCAAACCACACATGTTCCCTAAGCTAACCAAATAGTTTTTTAGCCTAAAAAGTACAGTACAACATAAGCATTAACTTTAGCTGGACTTTTAGCCAATGAATGTAATGTCAAATGGAGGATCAGCATTTTTCATTAGTAGCAATAAAATATCAAAGATTACAAACGTGTCTATGAAGGTATACACTGGTTTAGAAATAGCAGACTGCTGTGCAGACAGTAATCACAACCGGTGATAATGCAGTAATCAGGTATTCAGGAGTATAAATTACTAATATATTCAATTTAAAAATCATATCCTGAATGATCACACACAGATTCAACTTTTTGTTTAGTATTTTTTATTCAAAAGCACAGAAAAGGCTTGAGTCATTTAAAAGGGAGAAATGAGGTGCACAAAAATGCTGTGTACATTGAAAATGACCCTCAACCCATTTCTCCGGGGGGGTACAATGAAATGCGGCAGATGATAAAACTAGATAGTGACAACTTTAGTGAAGTTTGATTTAAGAGGAGCAGTAGGAAAGGCTGTGCAGGCTCAGTGCAGAGAGCTGAGATCTTGAGAAAGTGTCCTACCACAGAAATCAGTCAGCTTGATGAGCCAGAGGACAGAAGCAATTACATCGAGAGCAAGAATAACACAAGGTTTAGGAAATAAAAACATTACTATAAGGACGCACCATGACAAGTAAGGTTTAAAACCTCATTTGAAGAGGAGTAATTGCATTGGATGTTATTTATAATTTCCTGAGGAAAAATGTACCAAAATGTCTGTGCTGATCTACAGCCTCGCTCCACCTCAAGATTTTGCATTTAAATTGGAATATTTGTTCATTCATATGGTGTAAATCATATGACACCATGTTCTGCATTTATCTTTCGTGGGACCGCCTTTACATTTCTTTCTATCTGGAGAAAGTGAATTGTATTACTACCCCACTGGCAGTGCCCGATGATGCCTTGCAATAAAATGTTCACTGGTAACCAATTACTTCTAAGGCATGCAGAACAAATTATATTTAAAGTGTCATTTTTGACTCTCACTAAAATAAATCTGGTAAATCAATTGAACACTGAA